GATAGATAGATAGATAGATAGATAGAAATAAAGGTATAGAGATGAGAGGTGGATAGAATTAAACGGATAGTGATTCAAGAGGACAGATTGATAGAAAAAGGGATAGTGATTAGGTAGAAATAAAGGTGCAGAGATTGGGTAGATAGATGCATAGATTGATAGAAATAAAGGGATATTGACTAGGTAAAAATAAAGGCATAGAGATTAGATGAGAGGTAGATAGAAAGATAGATACATGGATAGACATATATTGATAGAAAAGGATAGTGATTAGGTAAAAAATAAAGGCATAGAGATAGATGCATAAACTGATAGAAATAAAGGCATAGAGATTAAGTAGGTAGATTTATAGAAATAAATGGATAGTGATTAGGTAAAAATAAAGGTATAGAGAGAGATGCATAGATTGATAGAAATAAAGGCATAGAGATTAAGTAGATAGATTTATAGAAATAAATGGATAGTGATTAGGTAAAAAAAATAAAGGCATAGAGAGAGGTGCATAGATTGATAGAAATAAAGGCATAGAGATTAAGTAGGTAGATTTATAGAAATAAATGGATAGTGATTAGGTAAAAATAATCATAATATAGTATCAATATATATCTTTATTAGAAATAAAGGCATAGAGAGACATTCAATTCTTTTATTGTCATATGTACAAGTACCATGTAGATATACATATATAGATTGATAGATGGAAATAAAGGTATAGTGATTTGGAAGAGAAAGATAGATACATTGATAGAATAAGGGATAGTGATTACGTAGAAATAAAGGCATAGAGATTAGGTAGATTGAAAGACAGATACATAGAAGTAATCCATAGATGTATCTATTAATAGATAGAAATAAAGGCGTAGAGATCAGATGATACACAGATATATACTTAGATACCTAGATTGATAGATAAGAATAAAGGGATAAAGTTAGAAATATAGGCATAGAGATTAGGTAAATACATAGGTATATACATAGACTGATAGAAATAAAAGGATAATGATTGGGTAGAACTAATGGCATAGATTAGATAGCTAAATACATACATGCTTACATAGATTGATAGAAATAAAGATTAGGTGGATAGAAATAAAGGGATAGTATTTGGTAGAAATGAAGGCATAGATATTTGATAAAAATAAAGGCACAAAGATTAGACATTGAAGAAGTTTGTGTGTTTTCTTATTCTCAGAGGCCCTTGGAACTCTCCCCACCCCCTTGGTTAATCTTAGTGATTTTCTCAGTTGACTGGAAAGTTGATTGACTTATTCAGTCAGAAGGTGTGTAGCACTGGGGAACCCCTGGGGTCATATATGACCCTTCCTTTTATTTCTGCCTTACATTCAACCCACTAATCAAAGTTAAGAATTTTTTTTTTTTTTTTTTGCTTTACAGCCCATTGTACCATATACGACCCGGTAACAGTGACATTTAGTGACTACTGACTGAATTAACCAGATTTTTTCCACATTAAATATGACCCCCACCGAGTTTTGAGGTAGTTGCTATACATGCTGCAAAGATTCACCTGTCAAGCTGTGAGTAGGTAAGTGGCAGCAGAAATATTGCATCATCAGTTATAATGTTTAGATAGTGTAGAACAAAACTAGGTTTTGGATGGTTTTTAAACTTTTCTGGCAACTGTGATGATGATGATGATGATGATCCATGTGCTCAACACCAGCCAACAGGGAATACAGGTGGTGCAAAAGACAAGTAAACTTTCTGTGTGTAGTACACCTTTTTGCAGGTCTGTTCATTTGACCTGTTTCTTGATGGGTTGACATGTTTGAAGCCTGTGTTTTATTGCCAGCACATGGTGACTGATGAAAAGGAAAACTCAATAAATGCATTTTGAAAATGAGAATTATTTCATAGGTGAAATTAACAAGTTGGAACAGCCCAGCGGGTCGTATATGGCACATTTCATAACATGGACTGGGAAAGGGTTATTTTTACAAAACACCTGTTTTTGAGTTCACTGGGTCTGTATGATCATTTTGGCCATGTTTTTCCTATAATGAAAGGGTGGGCTTGGTTCCCCAGGGATGAAGCAGTTTATGAATAATCTTAGCTGGCACATTATGTGGAACATGCTTGAGACGCACTTCAAAATTACTGTATTATCATCCCAGTAATCTTATGTGTGAAAACAGATTTGTGCTGCATAAATCGGTTTGGTGGTTTGTTGTCAATATTTGCAAAAAGGGATGTATATGTCAATGCAGACATGCAATATTTCCCCAAGCGAGCTCGATGGGCCGAATGGCCTCTTGTTTGTATAGTTTTTATGTTCTTATTATAAAGAAAAATAACTGATTATTGTGGGTACCTCTGCAGGAAACTTAAAAATAACAAAGGTTTTAAAATCTAGGGGAAATCCATTTTAAATTTGTGCTCATTTAGGCCTATGGTGTTTAAATAACACTGTATTTCTTGCTTTTTCCATCCATCATCTATCTTCCAAGTTTCTTAATTCCAATACCAAATCTAACCCTAATGGCAACATTAACCCTAAAAGAAGAGTCAGCGATTCATACTGCCACCTACTGTGCTGGAGTTATTACAGAAATCTACACTTAAGCCTGTTTTGCAAACCAGCTCCATACTTATCCCATGATTTCCCTATGATGCCAACTGTAGCATCCCCCCCAAAAGATGGTCAAGGCTTGACTGATGGTTTTATTGTTTATTGAAATATTTGAGCTAATCAACCAATAATCCAATCAACCAACGTAAGAGCTGGGCAGAGCACAAGACAAATGCATTACATTTATAGACGGTGCCATGTAACTGTATTAAGATGAATTCGCGGATGATTACGTCACCCACGTGATATGGAATTAATCCTTTACTATAATATTCTGGGAAGTTGTAATTGTGGATTAATTCTGATCGTGTGTGGACTGATCATCCTGAAATTCAGATCAATCGTCCATAATTCACCCCGAATGTTACTAGACTGCACGAACTCGTTATTTACCGATCCCCTGTAAAACCTAATTTTGCCATAAATAAATAAAGAAGCCAGGATGCTAATCTGGGCCATTAGATCAGCATGCAGAATTCTTATCTTGGTTTCAGGAGATGGGGGGGTTGGTATACAGCACCCTATATTGCCTATTGGCAATATTGTAGTTTGTTATCGCAAGCAGCATCACTCGGACAAAAGGGGGAATTGCAGTACATATTGCCTGGGGGGAAGGGGTGAGCCTGGCCAGCTTACCCCCTGCCCACACACAACGCTAAATTTACTATAAAGGAAGGGGGAGATCCCAGTACTGACCGGAGCTCAGCCGTGGGATAGAGCGCGCATCGCCCGGCACTTTCTCGGGACTCACGTGTTGGTCTCTTGCCAGGACTGAAAAGGTCTCCCCAGTCCATGTGTGAAGATGGGTGATGATGGCACGTCCGAGTGTAAATAGTTTTGCAGCTGCTTATACGTTTAATTGACTAATGGGGATTAATTATCACCGCTCGTGATAATAATTTGCATTGTCTATATTTTATTATTTCTTTTATATATAGGCTACATTAGTTCGTATGATATATGCTATTCTATATCGTTTGTGGTACAAGGTTATTTTGCATTGCTTTTAAATTGATATATTGATATTGATTTTAATACGAAGTTATCGTGTATTACTTGTATTAAAGTGTTTTTGAGTGAACCTAAGTGTGCCTGTTTGTTCCTTCGAGAGCCCTATATCCCTCTCTCATCCATTTTAATACAGTAACATAGCATATTACCAACTCAGTGGAAGAGTAAAAGTTCTCAGTTCAGTCAGAATCACCACAAACAAAACATTAACAAACATTAACCGTGCCTTTTCATGAACACTAACCTTGTGCCGCTTTGGAGGGTGCAAATCATTCTATTTCAGCTTATTTCCCATCTCCTTTTCTTTACCTTCGCTCAGTACCCCCTTTTTTATCTTGCCTTAAGAACTATTACGAAAGCTATGCACGTAATTTCAAAATAAAAGTCCCTCAAAACAAAGTGGAACCTAAGGCAATATAAATTCACAAAAATAATATAAAAATAATACCTTAGGCCAGGTATTATTATTCAAACTGGTAGTCCTTTGTATGGCTTGGTACCCGTGAAGCAGCTCTGTTTCAAAAAGGTTGATGACCCCTGCCTTATGCATATTTAACAGTGCAATATTTCCTTAAAGAACAAAAAATAGAAATTGGGCCATTCACACCAACCAAATCCCAGAACCCCAAGACGTGCAATTTCCTTCAAAACATGCAATGCAGTCGAGCTGAAGGTCGCTATCAAAGCATCCTGGGCTTCCATAACACCTCAGCAGTGCCGCAGGCTGATCATCTCCATGCCACGCCGCATTGATGCAGTAATGCATGCAAAAGGAGACCCGACCAAGTATCAGGTGCCCACATGGATGTAGTTTTCAGTAGGCCAACATATCTGTCTTAAAAATCATTTTTTGTATTGGTCTTATGTATTATTCAAATTTTCTGGATTTTGGGGTTTTCATTAGCTATAAGCCTTAATCATCAAAATGAAAAGAAATAAATGCTTGAGATATATCACTGTGAGTAATAAAGCTATATAATATATGGGTTTCACTTTTTGAATTGATTTACTGAAATAAATGTGCTTTTCGATGATATCCTAATTTAGTGAGATGCACCTGTATAATAGGCTTACCATCTGTAACTGAATCTTTAAACCATTTAGACACTCTGTCACCAGTATCCTAGGTACACCTCCTTGTTTATAGAAACAGCCTTCACCTCCAAACAAGACAGGGTGCAGAGGTTCAGTTGTTGTTCATCTGAGCATTAGAATAGCTAATGTATTTATATTTGTATATATATTTAGCAGACATTTGTCCAATGAGACGTACAAGCAAGGCAAAAGGCTTCTACTGCAAACATTTATGCTGTCAAGGAGTCAACTGGGCATAAGCGTAGCGAACCTGAGCTTCCAGTGAATGTCCAGGTACAAGTGAAAGCAGGAGCTATACAACTATCAACAACTACACATCAACTTCTCACAAAGTGAGAATCTAATGTAACAACAGCATTCAAAGAACATTAAGTGGCATCAGGTTAGTAGAGGAATTCATGGAACTGACAGATCTTGAGGTGTTTCATGAAGGTGGACAGTCTAATGACAGAACGTGATTCGTAGGTGAATTCTACTATAGGGAAACCTCACAAGAGAACCATCAGGAGCGACACTTCTCAGGTAGCAGAGGAAGTTCCATGCAGCTTTGGTTCGCTGAACAAAGAAGGTGAGAGGAGACACAGGCCTTTTGATGAGTCTTTTGATGGAGGTGGTGCCTGTCCATTGATGGACTGGTAAGTCCTGCAGTGGTCTGATAGCACAAGCTGATAGACCTGCTAGCAGAGAGTTGAGGTGACAAGTCTCTGGACCTGAAGCTGAGCTGCATAGTTAGACATAAAAGGCCTGATCTTCCTGATATTATAGAGGGTAAACCTATAAGATCAGGAGAGCGCTGTGATCTGCTCAGCAAAGGACAGCTGACATCTATCATTACCCCTAGATTCCAGCCAGAAAGTGATGGAGACAGTATGGATGAATCAAGTTGAACAGCGATGTCATGGTGGATGGTAGGACTGGCAGGGAAGACGAAGCTCAGTCTTGGAGAGGTTAAGCTGGAGGTGATGGTCCCTCATCCAGGCTGTGATATCAGCCAGGCATGCAGAGATCTGAGTGGAGACCGTGGTGTCTTTGAGAGAGAAGGTCTCGATGTCATTGGTGTAGTAGTGGCAATTTAAATGTGGTGTGATTGTTGGAATCAGACATAATGGTTCCAGCACCTCAAGAAGTGCCACCTTGCTGCGATTTTCACACATTGCAGTGTCAAGAGTTTACAGAGAATGTGGCGTGAAGGACAAAAAACATCCAGTCATGGGCATTTCCGTGAAGGGTTCCTCTGATCACAGAATTCACTCTCATAATTATATATATATATATATATATATATATATGTATTATAATATATACACAGTAAATATATATATACTGTATATAGAGTACATACATAAATACACATATACGTATATACACATACACACACTTTCCAAAATGCAGAAATTTATTTATGATCTTGTTTTTTTTGTTTTTTGAAAAGATTACTTTTATCTTATTACTAAACATTTATGTTTTATCTGTGTATAACACAATATAAATAACAGAAAACCCTGCTATCAATAGCTGTACTTGTATTAATAATTAAAATGACATTCCAAATCAATGGCATTAAAAACAAACATCCCGCTTATATCAGTGTCTTTTGGAGAGGTCTGGAAGGCATTTAGAACTAGTTTGGGAGACCTGAACTGCTCTTCAACTGAATGATTACAGAATCTCAAAGCACAGAACATTTTTTAAAACTGTCCTCTGGTTTGCGTAAAAAGTTAAAATACTTTGAACAAGAATGTGTCTTTCTTGCTCAGTGGCTGTTGTGTAGAGCGAAAGCACTGATGCAACACAAGTCCCAAACATGCAAACTATTAGCAGCGGGAAGAAGTGAGATGCAGACCTGAATACCGGTGCAGTGTGTGTGTGCGCGTACATATGTGTGTAGGTGAGGAAGAGGCATTACTCTGGTTTAGCAGCACAGTGCCCTCCTGTATACTGGTATAGGGACACATCTCCACTGAGGTTTCCTATCAGCAGGGAGCTGGGACCTGCCCAGCGAACAACATTACAGCCTTCCTCTGGGGCACGGGCCAGCCTGGCCAGCAAGTCCCACTGGCGGAGATCCCATGTAGCCAACGTCCCACACTGGAATGCCACCGCCAGTGACGATCCACACACGTCCACATCCGTGAACCTATCCGGAAGGACATAAGGGAAACGTTAGTCCGAATAGTGCCAGTTATATGTCTGAGGTACCAGCAGGAGGCGCTACTGGGTCATACCTCCCTAAGCACAGCGCAGGCTGGATCAGGCTGTGGGCCAAGACGTATCGAGCCGTGATGGGGTTTGTGGCGATCAGAGAGAAGAGCACGCCATCTTCCTGACTGAGAAACTTATGCTGGAGCAACATGAACAGGACACCCTGAAGCAATGTCAGAAAAAAATGCTCTGCTCAGATGCAGTGCCTTCTGGGATTTACCGATGCTGTAACATAATCAGTGACAGCCTCCCAGCCATAATCTTTACACTTACACCCTCTGAGTATCCTCTTAGACACGTGGCTCCTAGAAGACACTCCCCCAGGGCAAAACTCTGCAGCAGGTTACCAGTCCTCATATTCCTGGTAGCAAAGATAAAAATGTGAATTCCTTTGACTTGTACTGTTTTACTAAAACATTTGATGATTGTAACGACAGAGGTATGTCTGTCTGGACTGACTAAATGCCATATTTCACAGACAGTTTATTAGAAAGAGTCGCTGACCAGAGGAGCAGATGGCCGGCGTCTGTGGAGCCAATTAGAGCGTCCGGCTCTCCTTCCACAGGGGCCAGAGCGTGGACACCCTGCCCAGGAGACACCAGTGAGAGCGACTTCTGCGGCCTACAGGAGGACAAGGCCGTCACTGTGTAACAGCATCACAGACACATCACAGACACATCACAGCCAGTGACACAAAAAAGGACAAAGCAATGCAGAGGGTGAATCTCAGCTTGCATACTTGACCGTACTTGTGTCCACATTTACCCATTCTACATCATCGTCCTTTGACGAAGACCAGTTCCAATACTAAGAACACAAGTTCAGAGGATGGTGAAAATCACCGAATGTTGTTCTTGCTCCGCCCCAAAAATATCAAGGACGTACCGATTGCATCCTTGCCAAACAAGACCAATCCAATTCATTGCTCCCCAAGTTTGTTCTTGGAAGGCAAGTTAGCAAGACCGGTCTTGCCAAGACTTCAAGTACGGTTTTTGTTTTCTTGGTATTGGGATTCACCCATCGCCTCCATCTTAGCATTTCTCTGGGGTACCTGCCGTCCTTCGTCAGCTGGGCCACAGTCACCGTCTGAGTCGACCCAGAGGAGGCGCAGCAGACCAGTCTGCCCTCAGACACCCCCAGCACTGCCTGGATCTCCCCAGTGCACAGCACCGACTGGGAGAACGGGCCTCCAGCATTGACGAAGGAAAGGATCCTGAACAGGGGGACAGATAGTCATGGTGGATGGCGCTATAGCACTGATTACGAACCAATAAACAAAGAGCATGAATCTGCACACTGTAGACAGACACGTACATAGTAAGCATTCCTCCAAAATAAAATAACATTCATAAAAAGCTAAACGGGGAACATCCCCTTCCAAACATTTAATAAGGAATGAAGCAGATTTCCAGGAAGCAAAGGTTCACATTTTGCTCAGAAATGGAGCACTGAAGCGTTTTCGAACCTGTGTTTTAAAGCCGATTTGAAATGTTAATCGCACATGTCTCCAGCAACCATCATATTCTCTGTATTTATTATTATACTTTGTTTTAGTGTCTATATTCTCAATCCCATTTGGGTTCCTAGTTTGGGCTATTTGGGCTTTAGAGGTAGGATCCATTTCCTGAGTGCTCCAGGGTCTTTGCCAATGTCTGTGTGTGGTCTTTACCTGGCCTCTCTGATCTCCAGTTGACCGAGAGCAGCACAAACAAGGCCCGGGGCATCTGGCACAGGAAGCAGGGCAATGACTGGGTGCTGGGATGGAAAGACAAATGTTGAAGGTCCATCCGCCCAAAACACACCTTAGATCAGTGGTTCCCAAACTTTCTCTGCAGGGCCCCCCTTTTCTAGATAGGAACATTATTGATTACACAATTACAAAATACAAATGGTGCAATTTCACCACTGTGGGAGAAAAAAGAGCAATCAATTAAAAATAAAAGTCCAGCATAAGTTTGAAATTATGCTAATGCAGATTTAACATTCCTGTTAATTAATATACCTTGTAAAATAAAGTTTAAATAAATTAAGAAATGTTCTAATAGTACACGTAAGGTAGTGGTTTATTTATTATTTACTGTAATGTTGCGCTGCTTTATTTGTTTAATCGTCCAGTCTGTGAAGAGATTATTTTGCCCCTGAGGCTATGCCATTGGTGTGCCCCCCCCGCAATACCTCAGCGCCCCCCAGTTTGGGAACCACTGCCTTAGATGAAGGAGAGCATTGGGTACCTCAGTGAAAGGCCAGGTGTGGAGCAGACACCACTGTTCAGGAGAGGTTTGCTGCCACAAGGACACGGCCCACTCCTCTGCTGTCACCACACTCCAGCCCATCTCCATGCGGACACCCCATACGTCCACCAGGCAGCGGCCTGCGGGAGCCTGTCAACACGCAGACTGGATTAGGGAGATGTGTAGGACTGCGTGGCGGAGTGGTGCTACGGAGGGACTGGACTTGCCTTCAGAGTGTGCATAAGTTGCAGGATATCAGCAGCAGGTGACCTCCGCTCTGTAGGGGGCGCCATGCCTTGTGTTTCGGCCTGCCTTCCCAAAGGCCCCTGGGACGAAGACGCCTGCCCCCAGGGCGGCCAGACAGAGTCGGTGAAGTAGCTGTCCAGGTCTTGGTCTGCAGCTTCCGTTCCTGGAGACAGTGACTGCTCTCCCAGTGAGCATTTATCCACGCTGGCAGCCTGAAGCAGAGGCTCCACATCGCTGTGTGAATCCCTACTTGCTCCGCCCATACTGCCATCCGCATTCACAAGGCAGGGAGCCTCGCCCTCTCCAGCCTCCGGACAGTCCTGGGATGGAGACAGCAGGACCGCCCCACTGGGATTTAAAGATTCGACGTTGTCCCCCTTCTGGGAGGAACCTGGAGACAGAGAAGGTGCCAGATCCACCCCTGAAGGTGTCTCAGCTAGAGGACTTTTGCCCACATGCCCTTTCATGGGGGCAGATCCATCTTTGAGGGTGGTTTGGGGTGTGGGGGTATATGGGTCCTCTCCGGCGCCGAAGGGGGGTGAGGAATCTATGTCACTGCGGTCCAAGGAGGGACTGGGAGCAGACTGGCGGCACTGAGAAGTAATACTGGCAAGGATGGAGGAGGAAAGAGAGTCAGAGAAGCAAGGCAGAAGTGTTTTGGGTGAATAACTCTGATTCGCCGACACCTCAATCGCATGAACCTTCTGCTGTACCACCTCAGCAGGAAGGGGGTTCCGGGACTGGATTAGCTCCTCTGGGGATTGGCAAAGCAGAGACGGCGGTGTGCCTCCACTAGAGGCTGCCCTGTGCCTCTGCGAGTCACGTGACGTGGAGGGTGTGGCCTGCCGGGCGACGGGACTCTGCACTTTCAGGGGAGTCGAGGCCGAGCAGTTCTGTGAAGGCAGGCTGGAGTGTGCGGAGAAGGCGGGCGTGACCCCCAGGGAGGGGAATGTAGGGCTTCCCAACAAGGGCAGAACGGGCCTCTCACTTTTCTCATTGTGTGCAGGAGTAGAAGAGCTGAAGTTTAGCACACAGGGAGACAGAGCCATCCCAGCAGGACTCGCTTCCACACCCCCTTCCACTTCCATGCAATTTGCGACACCCCCTCTGTCTCCCTCCCCCATCCTGACACCCAGGGAGGAACCTGGGCTGTTCCTAACCACAGGATTAAGCTGACTTGACCTAGACTCCGGTGAAGGTACTCTGCCATCTTCTCCGTCTTCAGAGAAGTTGTTCCTGCCCTGTTTTCCACCTGGAAGCCTGACCCTGAAGCTCCTCATGGTTGCAGTCGCAGTCTGTTGGGCTGTACTATTCCTTGACCTCAGTTCCTTAGGGAGCTGGGGGGGGGCATCATTGGGCAGGACCTGAATGTGCTGCTGGCAATTCGTCCCAGCAAGGCTGCCAACCGGCCCTCCAGAGCTTCCAGCTGACTTGTGACGGTCAGCCCCTAAAGGGGTCCGGGATGCCCCTCGACGAGTGTTATAGGGGGACTGACGAGGCAGGCTGGCGTCTAAGCTCGCTGTGGCTGACGATCGAAGCTTGTCCAGCTTGAGCCTCCCAAACTCATCATCGGGAAGGTGAAAGTCTTTGACGTCGAAGCGGGAGAGGAGGGCACGCAGGTTGAAGTTACCTCCACCAGACGGGGGCACTGTGGGACGCAGGGGTTGCTGCACAGGACCAGGAGGCTGGAGCAGCAGCGAGTCGCATAGATCTGTACCTGAGAAGGACGCAGGAGAAACAAACACATAGGTACACGCAGAATGCAAATGGATCACAGGTTTTCCTGAAAATGCTTTCAGCCATAAACAAAGAGGGTGAAAAAAATAAAAACATACCTGTCTGTCCCCTCTGCAAACTGTCCTCACCAATATTAAACCCTGACATTTTTGCTCTGCCATTTGTCCGAAAGATAGCGTACAGCTCCTTCTCAGCGGTCTGAACATCGTTTCCTGTGTGAGATATTAAATCTGCTGCTATGTCAGGCCCTGTTGTTCCCACTTTAGTCGGCGGGCTAAAGTGCTTTCTGGCGGCCCTGCCCCGGCCCCTCCCTGCCCCGCCCCCTTTCTGGCGCCGACCTGCATACCGTCTGGAGACGGCACAGTCAGTATCATGGTTCTGGCAGCTCTTTGGTTCCGGAGGAACCTGGCTCTCGTCCTCGCCTTCAGCACCCAGTGCTTGGGGCTGCAAAGTGACCTCAGATGTTTGGCTGTCACGGGTCACACCCCCGGCCGGCCGGCGTCGGCGTCCTCTGCCCTTCCTGCCGTGGCTCAGCTGGCTCTGAATCACGGCGCCCAGGTCTACGTGGCTCTGGGCAGACGCCATCCTCCGCGTGGTCCTCACGTAGTACTCCACCGGGAAAAGCAGCCCTTCGATCATGGTGCAGGAGTCCAGGCAACCCACTTCCCCAGAATCGGATGCCGGGGGTGGGGGGCTTGAGCCTCGCTGCTCACCGGCCTCGTCCGACGTTGGATTGCCATCTGATGGCCTCGAGGGGGATGGCACGGACAGGGGTTTAGTGGTGCTAAAATCAATCTCTGGTGTTTCAGAAAGCATGGTTTCCCCCAGCAGGGAGTCTGCTAAGGACTCACACTTCTCCACACTGTTGTTGTCTTTCAGACTCCCCTGGGTGGAGACAGACCTATCGAATGGTTTATCGAGTCCTTCTTCCCTTCCTCTGCATTTCTCCTGGGCACTAGGACCCTGAAAGCCTGCCTCCTTGCTGCAGGACAGGACCTCAGGCTGACAGTCCTCAGCAAGGACAGGGACCAAGAGAGAATCCATCTTCTCACCATCCCCCTGGCCGGTGGAACTCTCCCCACTCTCACTCCTCTGAGAGTCTGAGCGCTCCTTCTGCTCCCAGCGCAGCCAACTCCGCCGTGACCGCAGCCGGTGGGCCGAATGGCGGCGGTGGCCGCGGCCAGATGTTGGGCTTCCTGCCTGGTCGACCGCGTGGTTGTCAGAGAGGGGAGCAGAACCAGGAAGGTCCCCAGGGCGGGTGCACAGGCTGTAGGTTTCAGGTGGCAGACTGAACCGGACAGCCATACCCCTGCAGTAGACATCAGAGTCACTCGGAGTAACAGAAGCAAGGGTTTCCACCTTGGAAACACCTGTTAACAAGAACAAAGGATTGTTTCACCACTTTGTACTTCCCACACCTTATCTTTTAATAAACACACAACCCACGGGCTTACTTAGGTCAGATGAAGTAACAGTACTCTGTTCCACTTCTGAACGATTCTGTTCTGCAATCCTGCTCCTCACGTGTTTCCGCACAAGCTCAGAGCGCTCAGCACGCTGGGAAGACGAGAGTCAAGAACATCCAAGATAATTCTCTCAAGAACACCAAATGACCTCCTTCATAAGTCCACTGTTGTTTTTTTAAGGGGGGGGGTTCCAGATCAATAGCTAAATAAATGTCAGATACTAAGAGATTGTGTATTTTTTCACAATACTGTTGCACAGTTTAAGCAACAATACAAACAAAAGAATATTCTCTCCTTCACAGAAAGGTTTACGTCAAGCAAAAAAAAAAAAAAAAAAAAAACTTACCCGTAATCTCTGAACAGTTCGGTTGTACTCTCTCCGTAGTAAAGCCAATTTTTCCCTTAACTAAAAAAATTATATATATATATATATATACACACATCAGCACATACAAGCAAGATCAGAAATTGTTGATTGCATGTGTGAAAATGCAATAAAAATAGAAATGCGTCGAGTTACTGCTTGATTACAATTTAATCAATGTAATGTAATGTCCTGTCGTTGATTACAATGTAATCAAGTACATTTGTATATACAGTACAATACATTTGTTGAAAAAAGACACGAAAACGAAAATCACCATTTCTGTGTCATCGCCGTGTAACAACGTGTTCACGCTGTCCTCCATGCTCGCTTGAATATTATGCATACGATCCCACAGCTGCTGCAACAGAATATACATATACATGACATCGATCACGACACGCAATCCAGCTACTAATAGTAATACCATGTTTTCAGCGCATATATAGACACATTAGTTGTGCATCGTTATCTGTCTGTTACAGTAAGATTTCGGACCCACATAACATCGTTAATGACATTACGCAAAAATCTTCTTACCCAACAGCTTTCTGTGACCGTTAGACAACTGGTTGTTAATGCGGGGCACCGTAATTTCGCGATCTAGTCTGCATTTCCCCTATCGCCAATCCAGTGATGCTTTAAGCTAGACCAAACTTGGATGTCAATTTATTGTCCTTTTTACTTATATACAATAACAAAGGGGAATATTTAGGATAAATGCTATATTACAAAAATAGAGACAAGTAAGACGCTAAATTAAACAGCACAGTTGTTTTCATATAAATCAGCAGACCTTATTTTCTGTTGCCGTTCCCTCTAAAGCTCCTAGTTTTTTAAGATTCCACCTTGTTCCCGCAACTTTCCCCAAAGACAAAAATAATCGAATTCGGTTAACATTTAATCTATCAAATAATGATTTTAAATTAGAAAAGTTATTTAAAGGAATATTTCAAAGATTATTTTAAATTCTTTAAAACAACAAATCGTAATATATATTAGCAGTATAAGCAATGTGGGTAAAAACATGAGGAATCGGCGATCGACAGCATTAGTCTGAACAGCTTACCGGAAGTGTTCGTGTGGAGCGGAACTCAGGGTGTGGAGTGTCCCTGGGTCTGTCGCAGGGCGGTATAAAATTATTAACAAATAGCACTGTCATTGTGCGATTCATTAAAGAATCGGTTTCCGCCATGGAATTGAGCGAAATATTGTATAACAAAGCGGAATATATTGAAACGGTATGTTGGGCTTTACTGCATTTGTGTGAGCGCCGACCGCAAATGGATGCTTTGTGGGTGTCAGAGGGTATTAGCTAGCTGTACTGCTTATTTTTCAGAAATATCTTGATATTCGCGTGCCATTACTTGCCTAAAGATGCATCTCTGACTTCTTCATTTGTCGTCGACAAATATTCATCTACCCCATTATTTTCCTTCGCAGGCATCTGGCAATAAAGTAAGCAGACAGTCAGTGCTGTGCGGCAGCCAGAACATTGTCCTGAATGGCAAAGTGAGTGGGAAACGTATTGTACATATTGTAGAACTGTGCAATTCTTATATTAGTAATGTAGTCCATTTTTCATATTGGAGATTTTATGGTTTAAATTCAAGTAAGAATTAAGTCCTGTCGTAGAAACACCACTCTGGCTGTCTTTCAGACTATCGTCATGAATGACTGCATCATCCGAGGGGATCTCGCCAACGTCAGAGTGGGAAGGCAGTGTGTAATAAAAAGTCGGAGTGTCATTCGCCCTCCTTTCAAAAAGTTCAGCAAGGGGTGAGTAAAATAAGAGTCCGCGTGATGGCAAATGAATGAATGAAAATTGACATTAGTTTGATTTACTGATTTAGTGTGGGTGAGGTGGATCTGTTTCTCTAATTTACTATTTCTGTGTATGATGTAGGACAAAACATAAATAGAACTACAGTTAAGATGGTTGGAAGAGGTGCCTTGTTTATTATTTTTTTGCTTAGTTTTATAATGAATTCGTTTTTCATTTGTCATTGATATATTGAATTGCTCGCAACGTTCAATGTAAATTGAAGCCAAAAAAACTAATAGTAGTTCACCACTAGAGGTCAGTATTTAGCTATGCAACAATATGATTGACGGAATGGAAGAGATTTTAAATCGTATGGCGATAAATTTAGGCATGTATGTATTTTCTCACGCACAGTGAAAGTGGCTTTTATTACCATGCCATTGGCTTGCTCTTAGTCATTACTAGTGGGTGGTGTGAAAAGTATAAAACGGTATGCTAATTAATGCTAATTCTGGAGTTTGTAGATAATAATTGTTTTAAGTTGTTGTGTGCTATTCTGTACAGTGTTCGTCATGACCCGAAGCATGGAGGAGGTTGTATTGCTCCAGAATAATGCAGCTAATCCTAACGGATTATAGGAAGGCGGTTTGGGGGGAAGGTCGCAGGATTAGTCTTCACTCTGTTCCATTAGATCGCTAATGATACGGAGATCCGGCCGGGAGGAAGTTCTTTAATACGGGGGCTGTCGGTGCCACCGTTTGTCCTGAGGTCACCGCGCCCGTTTCTATGACCACCGTGTTTAAGAAGCCCGGTGGAGCATGAGCGAAGGTTACAGACATATTAATGAGACAGTGGATTATTTAAGGCGACTGTAAAAACAGCGACGGTTAAACTGAACACTTGGAATCACGTTCACCCCATCAGCAGTGGCCAAGTGATGTCTGTTGGGTGACACTTGGGCACCGTGTGCAGATCATCATATTAAAATGCTCCACCGCCATGTCACATGACTTCCGGTTTGTTATGGTGGGCCATGGTCTCGTGTTCTGTGTCTCTATCCTGATACTGAGCTTTTTGGAAAATTATATACGACTTAGAAGGACATCTTTCATGTTGGGGGCACAAAGGATTTGATAAATGTTTGATAGAGATTATTGGTGAGTACAATTGATGGTCAAAACACCAGTTTGACCTGTCTGTTAAAAATTAGCACACTTTGGTAAAATAAGGGATTTCCTGTTTTTGTCCCAATGCTGTTTCATATTTAATTTGAGGCTTGCATGTATGTCACATGACTGCAATATTTAATCGATGTAATCTTTCCGATCATCCAAGCTAAGCTCCTAGAAGGCAAGGGTGGTTAGATAAGTTCTGGTTTTAAAATAGCATATGAAAATGTAAAAATAGCAAGTTACATTTTGGAACTTGTAAATAAGTCTGTCACGATTATTGCAGCAGTGAAGACTTACAGGAAGTTTATAGGAATGCCACCTGCGGTTTCCAGGAGTCAACAGCAACTTGACAGAACCTGATAATATTCATTTATTCGTCCGTCCACCCTTTAATTATTTTTCTTGTTCATTGTCATGTGTGGCCTGTAGCCTATCCCAGGCAGTACAGTGCACAGCCCTGGAGGGGTGCCAGTCCATTCTAGGGCACGTAATCATACATGCCTGCCCAATCATCTGTTATGGAAAATGTAGAGCTGCTTAACTGTATGTCTTTGGCCTCCAGTGAGCCACAGTGTCACACATGAATAGGGGGCAGCGTGTGGCTCAGTGGGCTTGTGCAAGGCCCGCAAGTCCCAGCTCCATGGGAGCCACTGCAGGTGGCTGCCCCTCACGGCTAATCTTGGTCTCATCTACATATGTATCTGTGTGGAGAGCAAGATGGGGTAGGCGAAAAGGGAGTTTCCCCACAGGGATCAATGATCAAAAAAGTGTAATAATAATGATTATAATTTTTATTATAGTAAATCTTGTACAGATAGATGCACAATACATTGGTTAACATACTGACAATGTCCAATTTCCAAAAATCAGGACACCATTGGTCCAATGTGTCAATCTTGCTGGCCGACATTTAAGCTTGAGTTAATATTCAAAGTTAGCTGCGCCAGAGCTAGAGGCATTAACATATACATTTGCGGCATTTGGCAGACACCATTAGCCCGAGCGACTTACATAAAGACGAAACTACTAAAATAATGGAGATGACTGCTTTGGACGATCAGCGTTTTCCGTAGTGGAGGATGAGGGATTTCTTCAGCTCATTCGTGATTCACTATAGTCTCCCAAGTTGGTGCTGCTTTGCTGATGTCTCTCTGCCTGCATTATATGTGGCTGCTACACGCATTTATGGAATCTTAAGAAGCAACGTCACTGGCTTTAGTGCCGCTACGGTATCGATAGTATTTGACAAAAGGATATCAGTTATCGGTGTTCGGCCAAAATTCCCACCTCGGTGCAGCGGTAGTATGTTGTTATTGGCGGGGGTGGTACTGACAGTGTGCCCCCCGCCTGTGCTCTCTCCCCAGTGTGGCCTTCTTCCCTCTGCACATCGGCGATCATGTGTTCATCGAGGAGGACTGTGTGGTGAACGCCGCACAGATCGGCTCCTACGTACACATCGGCAAGAACTGTGTCATCGTGAGTGTTGGCCGCGCCCTTGGCGGCTTAGTCGGCGCCTTTCTCGTACCCTGCTCCTTGCCGAGCATGTGGCTACCTTTATTTGCCTTTTGCGTTTTTGTTCATTTATAAGTCATTCTTTAGAAGCAATCACTGACTTATTAAATAGTCATTTTATTGCTCCATAGTTTATCAAATCAGAACTGCATTGAACTCCTAGTTTCCTCAGAAGTATGGGTTAAAAGGCCATTAGTCAGCTAACAAAAAGCTTGTCACCAGTTTCTCTCACTTGCCTGGTGTAAATCGTCTCATATACACAAATTACCTCCATGCCCTCCGAAAGTTTTGGCAAGATGTTCCTGTGCTCACCATGAAAAGTCATTGTTCAGCTCTTCTGGAGGTTTTCCTTTGCCCACAAAGTGCAGTAGGATAAGACTTGACTGCGATTTATTCTTGTGCGAATAGCCCAAAGTAGATAGCTGCTGATTAGCCTGTTTGCTTGGGGCTGCTTATCAGAGATAATACGGTAACTTTGACACTGACCTAAAAGCTGCTGTGCTGAGCTGATCCATATCAGGGAGGGATCCTGTACTGCTACCTGCCTCATAGGCAACTGAGATGTATAAGCAGAGTGTAATTTGTTACGTGTCTCTGAACCTAGAAGTATAAAGATGCCCTCCTTCCCCACACACACTTATTTTTCAGGGAAGACGATGTGTCCTGAAGGATTGCTGTAAGATTCTGGACAACACTGTCCTTCCTCCCGAAACCGTGGTCCCTCCTTTCACGGTGTTCTCCGGATGTCCGGGTAGGTCTGAAGGAGAAGCCTCACACAGCTCCGGGAATCCTCTTTGGTCACGTGAACAAGCAGTGTTACCTATTGTCATAGCAACCTAAAAACCAAGGAAGGAGACTGTTGGAAAGAGATGTCAGCATTACAGGCGTGAAATGTCCAGCACCTGAGACGTCCATGTTGTCTTGCTGTTCATGCATGCGGATTTTAATATAAAGGTAGTTCACAGGCTGATCTTCTCCCTGTCTTCTGCCCCAGGGCTGTTCTCGGGAGAGCTCCCGGAATGCACACAGGAGCTCATGATCGATGTCACCAAGAGTTACTACCAGAAATTCCTCCCCCTCAGCCAGATATAAGGGCTGCGTCCTGCGTTTGGACCGATATGGACTGAATGGGCAGTGGAGCATGACCTCCCCCTGGATCGTTTTTCCACGTGGTCACACGTTTAATGATGAGCTCATACTCTTTCTCCGTGCCCATTTAACCTGTCCAGGAAACGGCGTTGTTTCTGGCACTTTCTCGTTCGATCAGCTGAAAACATGTGTAAAACGGCCACCTCTTTTATCCCGCGTCCGTCTCCTGAATTTGTGCAATCGCTTCCGATAAGCTGGCTCTGTTGTCTCGTACTGGGTGTTCTTTTGCATTTGACAGGGAGCTGCTCTCTGTTAGCCAGCCGGCCTGTCTCTTGCATGCCCCAGTTTCCTCAACTGATGGGGACAGACGTGTCCGCCCACATGTTTACACGGAGAGTACTCGCTCTGTGTCACGCCAGCTCTACTGACAACCACCACAAGATACTATTGACCCTCATCTTATGCAAAATGTGGGACGAAAAAAAAAAAATCCACTTTGCTCCTGCCCGCTTTTTTTAATCCTCTGCTTTTATTTAATGTTATATTGTATTTATGGAGGTTTCATGCAGCTTGTTGTCAAAGCGGCACTACAGTGCAACCCAATACAAAGTGGAAAATGTAGAAATAAATGTGTATTGTAACATTTCGGTGTAAGGAGTTTATTTTACTAATTGCTGATGCCTTTGGTCACTTTGTATATTCTGATAGTACGGAGGTTAATCTTCTTCATTGTGGGTTTCACCCAGTTATTTATGATGGGCTGCTTTTACTCAAAACCTAGCAGTCATCTTCACAAATTGTAAAACCGTAGTTGTTTATTTATTTATTCAAGGGGAAAAAAAAGGTGAGTCTCCTAGAAGCTTCTGGAAACCTACAGAGAAACTTCCAGTTTGCTTAGGAGCCCCAGAGCATGCCCCAGTGTGTGTGGTGTAATACAGTGATGTGTGAGTCAGGCTCAGTTCATCCCTTAATGGCTCTTAAGCCCGAAACAACTTTTAGAGCCTGAATGCTGATTTTAATGAAGACAAACAAAGTGATTTGCAGATGCCTCTCCTTGGTCTTTTTTCTTTCTTTTTTGTTATTTTAAAAGCGTAACATCACACATCACCTGACGCTTAGTAAACACACAAAAGGGTGAAGCGCTCAGTCTCCATGGGCTGAGGGTCTGTCACTGCAGCCTGCTGTCATTTCACTTCTGTTGCCTTTCAAAACTAACCACGCACACACAATATCTGCTTTGTTGATTTTCCAGGCTAGTGCACTAATATGCATTAAGCAAAGCGGCCTTGCAGACAAGCAGTAATTACTGTGAAAGTTTTACGGAAATAAGGGCGAGGAGCCTAATTTTTTTCCTAGTGTGGACTAGCGTCTGTACATTTGGCCTTTTGTTAGTCCGCTAGCTTACTGGAAACATTCAATTGAGTTAACATATTAGATACAGCTTACACATTGAAGGGCAAAGCATACCTTTCAGGGACCTCGCTAATGTGAAAGAGCCAGAGAGGCTGGGGTAATTTATGACATTATTGCGGCGATTTATCAGTCTCGCCCCAGCAAGGCTGTTTGCTTAGGCCGTCCAGGCCCCCTTCCTGCCAGCAAGCGGTTTATCAAAAAAACCAATACAAGACAGCTGCAAGAGTACACAGAGCGTGTGTTGCAAGCAGCACACTTGGTGTTGAAACTGTTTAGACTGTGCCTGGGGGGTTACAAAAGCGCCTTTTATTCTCGAGTGCACCGCAAGTGAGTATCACTGCTGCAAGGTACGCCGGATTGTGCGAGAGGAGGATTGTGGGACAGCGGGAGCTGCCTTTGGCCTTGACTTTGCTGAAATGGCTACCAGGTTAAACTGTTTGCCCTCAGCTTCTTTGGTAAAACTTAACACTAACTCCACTTTCATAATGGATTCATAACGCATTCAAAGAACATCCAGTTCACCTTCATAATGCATTCTTAGAACATCCAGTTCACTTTCACAATGCTTTCAGAGAACATTCAGTGCACCTTCATTATACAATCAATATTCATAGAACATCCAGTTCACCTTCATAATTTATTCGTAATGCATTCAATGAATATTCTGTTCACCTTCATAATGCATTCATAGGACACTCATAAGCAGCATGTAAATCTACCTTCAAGTCCTAACGTACTTTAAAGAGATCAATGGTCATTGTTGACACACCACAGCACACAGTGCACAACAATGAAATGTGTCCTCTGCATTTAACCCATATGTGACAATGTAACATTTAGAGGGGGGAGCTAATTCAGCACCTGGGGAGCAGTGCTTGGGGGCGGTACCTTGCTCAGGGTACCTCAGTGGTGCCTTGCTGGATGGGGATTCAAACCAGTAATCTTTCAATTACAAGTGTGCTTCCCTAACCATTAAGCCACCACTGGCCACAAAAAAAAATCAGGGGAGAGTGCGAATGCAGTCCCCCACTACCAGAAATTATGCAGTGAAGATTCCCACATTAGGGGAACTGGCAGGGGTCAGCACAGCTGCAGGGCAGTGGCTGGGCCTCACTCTGGGTGAACCACCGCGAGATCAAGATCCCCTGCCAGGTAAGTATGCACCTTCATACTTATACATAATATACACTAATAATATACACTAATAACGATCTTTTATATGATAACAAAGATGTACTGTATCTGTACCATTCACCACTGGCACTTTGAAAGCTCTACATGCACACTGGACAGTATTCAAACTGCATCACTGCACTACTACATTGATTCCCACTGAGAGAGAATGCTTAAATCTGAAAGTGGCTGTTTTATCATTTTTATTTTTGGGAAAAAAAACGTACACTTTTTCAGTGACTATTTCAGTTTCTGTTAATTTAGTTGGGTACTGGATTGCTAGGTGAGATGGTCACTATTTGACTACAGAAAATGTGTGTTAATTTCCAAGTGTATCTTAATGATGCCAGTATCTGCTCTCAGGATAACGGCCAATCTGTGCTAGAAGCCAGAAAAATGACACTTAACATGCTTGAGACATCAGGATACCAGGTTTCCCCATTGATATAAAGCATCCACAATGGTTTCCACTGCCACTAACTCTGGTGGCTTATGGACTATTTATATCTAGGGACAGCTGATAGGAAATAAAAGTTCCTTAATTCTTTTTTGGAACATTTACGTCACTCTCGGGGGGGGGGGGGTTGTGAAGGCAAGCTCTGCCCCCTCTGCCAAATGAGAAGCTTGGTGATGGTGATGTTGCTCTAACTCCTTATTGAAGATCTGGTTGGGTGACCTCAGCTCATGGGTAACTAAAGTCCCTTTGAGCACAGAGACGCCTGCCATTGTCCCATTGCCTTCATCCTACTTCCGTGTTTACAGATGTTAGCTTTCGGGGAGTGTGAGTGTAATAATACGCCTGAATAGTAGCTGGCTGGGAAGAAAAGGTGCAAACGGTTTCTTTGAATATTTGTCAAAGCCCGTGCTGGGGATTAGTGTTACACATGAATAGCGAAGGTTAAGCTTCCCTAAGCATGGTAGCTAAGCTAATTTCAAATGCGATACTGTGGTGTTTTCTTCAGCTATTTTTGCTGTTTCACTTGATTTAACTTCAGATTCTTCCCTCTGAATATTGTAACTTTATTCCTAAAAATAAAAACCTTCTCGCCTGAATAGCTTCTCACATCAATAGCATCTTCATGTGACAGATCCACCCCCAAATGACCCTAGGCACTGTGGAACCAAAGCTAAATATTCATTATGGAAACTGACAAACCAAAGAAGAAGGTCGTTTAACCCTGAGGATGTCAAATGTCACCCCTGATCATTTTTTGGTTAAACAGTTTTCATGGTAGAAGCAGCATATTGAAATCATACTAAGTAGCAGTCTTGCCAAATCTGTATGTATAGGAACCTCGCTGTTTAACAACATGCTGTTAATGTTTTGCGTGAACGTCATTTGCTTGTTAGCTTAGCATATTACGCAGTGTAGTAATAGTGCAATAATACAGAAATATGTTTTTTTTTTTTTGTGTTTTCTAATTGGTGTGTTGCTGCTTCCGTTTAGCTTGTATGTAATGTGTCATAGTTTATTTGCATGTTTGTATGGAGGCTAACTCATAGCTTAACATCGAGATGATCTTCACTGGGAAACCCCAACCTACATAGCAGTTACATTTTATCATGTATTAAGGTTAATGTCATGGACACAGAATAGCACAGACATGGGAAACATGCAGATACCTGGCCTCTGGTCATGCTAAATGCAACTGTCACCCACAGTAGGAATGGTTATTGAGCGCTGGCCTTCAAACTCAATGTCACCTATTCTCTATATAGCTGAGTATGTACGGTATAGTTTATGGAATGAAGGTTTAACATACTCAAAGATCATGTGACTTAGAGGATCTTCATATATAGTCTAATACTAAAATTAAATTTATCAAGTATTAAGTGTAGATTTCCAGTATTTGTATATGATTTCCTCGTTTAAGCATTTTTTTAGATATAAGATCCGATGCATGAGTGTACAGCTGCCAAGGCATGTAACTGGTTAGCAAACATTAACTACTTGTGATAACTTTCACTGACGTTCATCTGAGGCTTAAGTGAAGTGCCTTTAACTGCCACGATCACCTTCACCTTGTGTTCGGCGGAGACCAGCCCTTTTGCAGAGAAAGCCGTTCGTGAGTTTGTTCCTGTCTATACCTCGACCCAGACTGCTGTTCACGAGTTTGTTCCTGTCTATACCTCGACTCAAACTGCACAGCTGGCCTGCGTGCTTGATACTGCAATCAATAAGCATTATGAACAAATAAGGTGAGCACAGGCTTAGAGTGCATTTCCATGTAAATGGGAAAACAGGTTTTTATGGCTTAACATCCCAACTCGTGCAGGATATTATGTAGTCATTTGCATTTATGACACTAAATAAAATCAATTTGGTTTCACTGGAAAAGAAACATCAGACTTTATTGTTTTATATTTCACTGGAAACTCATAAGGGTAATGTGAAAATGAAATTTTCCACACCACTATGTCCTCTCATATTTCTCTCTGCAAAGAACAAGTGTTACAGCAGCAGACTTAGTAAATCTACATTTCGTGTTCTTTAAGAAAGATTTTAAGACACAATAATTGGTACAATGTTTTACGACATGCATGAATAACGAACTTCCCTGGCAGTCTGCAAGGGACAGACTTCAGCTGGTAAGCAGTCACGTTATATTCCCTCCGCTGTCGAACCCTGAGCTCCTCTGCACTCCTGAGGTATAACAGAGCACATAATGTGTGATGTGCAGGACCAGAGGACCAGGCACACTGCAGGATAGTTCAAGATGGTGAGAAACTGGGACTGTGCACACACACACACACACACACACAGAGGTTTGTAATCATATCTTTGTAGGGACCCTCCATTCATTTCTGTGGGGAAAACCCTAATCCCAACATGATGACCATAACCCCTAACCAGCCCTAACCTTAACCATACTTTGGGATTTTTTTTGTTTTTTGATTGACAGGTTTTGGCCCCAACAATGTAATACAGACACAATACACACACACACACACACACACACACACACACACGCAGTTTCATTTGAAAAGATACACAGACTCTTTGATGGCTATGTTGGGATAATAAGGAACGTGATAAATGATGATATGAACCTGCAGAAAGGCTAAAGATTTTCCACTTAAGTCCAGCACTAGTGCTGTCAGTCAGCTCTACACTTAAGAGCTGTCAGCTATGTGCTGTCAGATACCCCAGATCACACAGTATCGCCTGCAGAAAACAGGGAAATGGGCAATACCTGAAACAAAGATCTTTCATCAGTGATTTTTACTTTTTGAAGCTAAAGATTAGGCTACGTCCTCTGGAACCTACAGACATACACAGGTCAAAAGACATACATGTCAACGGCATGACAAGGACATCCTAATCTCAGAAGGAACATGTTCTTCACATGACCTGATGGATCAGCACATGCAGCCACAGCACACAATTCAAGAGGAAAACGAAGCCCACAAGCTAATTGGAGAGAATGCGAACACTGGAAAAGCTAACAGGTACTGGGAGCGCATAGGAAATGTTAACAGCACTGACACAAATAAGGCTATTAGGAGTGGAAGCTGTTTAACAATGATAACAAAGAAATGAGAGGGCAGCTGTTAAATTAAAAATAGCCAAGATAACTTGATTGAAAAAGAATGGCATCAACTGCTAAGTATGGGACAATAAACCAAATCGGATTGTTAAAATATAAATGAATGAGCATCTCGAAACAAATATCTTTGACTTCAAAATTTTTGGAGTCAACCAAATTTTGAGAGGAAAGTGCGTCAGTAAACTTTGAGTTGTGAAATCATTCATTTGCACATGTCTAATTGATTACTTCTGCCTTTAGTTATCACCGTAACCAGTTTTCATCAACTTTGTGATTTTATTTGTTGCTGTAGTGAACAGGTGTGCCTTTGATGGGTTTTCCAGAGGCTGTCATCTTGATGTCAGTGTTACAGTGCAGAATGTAGTCTTTCCATTAGCTGCCAGGAAACACAACCAGTGTTATCAGCATAGCCCAGAGTTAGAACACAGCTACAAAGAGATTTTAATTAATTTCCATTATGAGTAATAATGGCAAAACAGACAAACAGTGACTAGATAGGCAAAGTTGATTTTCAGAGAAATTTGTGTCGTCTTGGATGTTTCCCGTAAAGTTGAGAATCATTAAATAAGAACAGGAAGATGTACTAATGGAACCATAGTTATGAAAAAGCCATATTGATAAAACTGTTGATTAAATTTTAAAATATTGATTTTTGTGCACTTTCATATTTTAATTATGACATCTGACCTATTTTCTGTATGCCTCAATTTGACCTACATTTTTTTTTTTTAAATGACTTGTGAACCTTGGCTCAGTGAAGGTCCTGACCATTCTGTAAAGAAAGTTTCTTGCAGGACAACCTAAAAATATAAATCCACTAAAATGTAAATATGACCGGATTAAATGACTAAAACTATTGATCACTGGGGACAGGAAATGTTTTGTTACAATAACAGCCACTGGTAACACTTAACTTGAGGAGGTACAAATAATATACTATTATGCTCTTAATTAAACATGAATTAACTATTGTTAAATGTTATAATTAACTACAGACAATAGTAATTGCAAGCAAATTACTGATTATGTACTTAGCAGCAAGTTGTTGAGGTCAGTGTTAACATAAAATCTAGTTAACCATCATTTTATAGTGTAAACATTATCTATTTACTAGATGTTGGTACAGTGGTATCTCAGTTCTCGAACTCATTAGAACTCGAATTTCTTAAAAGTCGAACCAACCCAGTTCGAAAAAAAATTACCTAGAACTCGATCTGAATCTCAGAAGTATATGCTCTTCTTGTTTTATCCTGTTCATTTGTGTTTAAATGCTAAAAAAAAACATATTTAGGTGTAATTTATTGGGGCCGGGAACCAATTAATTGGTTTTCCATTATTTCTTATGGGGAAAATTCGATCAGAACTCAAACTTTTTAGGATTCGATCCGGAGTTCTGAACGTACAGTGGTACCTCAGAACTCAAATTTAATCCATTCAGA